ACGATGCTGGTGTGAGATGGGTTCTCTTTTTCCAAGATACAAATGCACTTCTTTTCAAGGTTAGTTTCTAGAAAGCTCATTTTTCCTATCATTGATGAGGGATAATTGGATACAAGTTGTATTTTGCTTCTTTTTCTTGCTTTTAAACAGGCAATTCCAGCATCACTAGGTGTCAGTGCCACCAAACAATACCATGTCAACTCTCTTGCTGTTCAACGCAAAGCAAAAGAAGCTATTGGAGGAATTACCAAACTTACTCATGCTGATGGTATTTATACGTAAAATTTTATCAGCATAAAATATTGTTTATGAAATTATGATGATATTCAGCTTATTTACTATTGCTGCTCACATGACTGTTGCTAGCAAAAGAAGCTCTGTCTTTCCTTCTTTTTTTTTTTTTTTCTCTCTCTCTCTCTTTTCCTTTTTCTTCCTTTGTTCATAGCTGCTTCTTGTTTTGAAACATTTTTACTGCATATAACTGTGAATGATTGTGTTCGCTTTTTTATTGGATTTATGTCATATACCATGAGAGTGTAATGCCTTGTGCTTCATTTGCTGTAAGTAACACAATGGATTTAATTTCAGGGAGGTCAATGGTGATCAATGTGGAATACAATCAGCTTGATCCTCTGCTTCGAGCCAGTGGGTTTCCTGATGGAGATGTAAATTGTGAGACAGGCTATTCTCCTTACCCTGGAAACATAAACCAAGTAATTTTCTGGTTCAAAATCATTAGTTACCCTTTTTTTTTTTTTCTTTTTTTTGAGGGCTCGAGTAGTAGTGATAAAGTGTACAACTAAAAGCACTTATAGATTTTTTTTATTGTAAAAATGTTTACCAAATGTTGGTCACTGTAACAAAAATTTAGTAATGCTTTTGAACGTACTGAAAGTGGTTTGACTTGTCGTCATGTTGATATTTGATAAGATTGATCTGACTTTTGCTAGGCAATGGTTCATTTTAATTTGTGAACTCTTCATTCTTGGTCTTGGTCTTGGTCTTACCTCTCCTTTCTGCTTTCTTTTCCTTTTTGGATTTTGTTTCACAGCTGATTTTGGAACTTGATCCTTACATTGGGGAGCTGAATAAAACAGGAGGCACAATAAAGGAATTTGTTAACCCCAAGTAATTATTCTTTCCATTTCTTGCTAGGTTGCTTATAACTAGTGGTTTTTTCTAGTGTTTGAATGCTTGACAGTCTCTAATTGCTCTACCCAGATTACCAACAAGAGCTTGGTTAAGTTGCTAATACGAACTTCGAAATCTTAAATTTGTTATGCTCTTGGATGTACAGAAGTGGATATGAAAGGGAAACATTGAGCTCCTGCTATTGTTGTGTTCATAGAAACTTAAAAGAACTTAGATTGTCAAGAGTTCCAAAGCATGTTTGGAAAATCTTTCAACAGCTTGGTTGAACATCAAATGTTTACCAAGGAAAAATTTATCATTAACTATGCATCTTTATGGTAGTTCCTAATCAGAGTAAAGGAAGTTCTGACCACATCGTTTTTCTTGTCCATCTTACTGCAGGTATAAAGATGCTAGCAAAACGTCATTTAAGTCATCAACTCGACTAGAGTGTATGATGCAAGATTATCCTAAAACCTTGCCTCCATCAGTGAGGGTTGGATTTACGGTAATTTATTGTTTGAGACTTTGTTTGCCTTGGAGATAGTACTTATAGCCTTGTGGTCACATATATAGAACTTGCCATCTATGTCCAGCCAAAATAAAAAAGGCTTCTCTGATGGTTCTGTGAGATATTTTTGTATCACTTATGTTAAAGAGTTTGCTATTAGGTGTTATTTACCCTTCATAAAACCAGCTATTTTGCTATGGCTTAGGTGATGGATACATGGATTGCCTATGCACCGGTGAAGAATAACCCTGAGGATGCTGCTAAGGTAAATGAATATTTTAGTTATCCAAGGACTATAATGGTGAACAACTTAGTGTTAGAAGCATTAGGTTTTTTGTTCTTTCCCCTTGAATCATACAGGTTAATTTTTCTATGCATTTTTATTTTCCCATACATTTTAAGAAAGACTTGTTTTAATTGCACATTTATTTAATTTTAAGCTGATGGCTGCTTCACCTTTTTGGTTCCTTTGAACTGATAAATCGACCATGTATCCATTTCACAGCATAATCCTCCCTCAAGCAATCATTAGCTGTATATTCTTTTAGCACAGAGGCTCTTATTTGGATTGCTATGATCTGCATCTTTGTAATTATTGTTGATAGGTGCCTCAGATAATCTTCAGAGTAGAGGTGTGTTTTATCTTTTTTAATTAATATTCACTTGACTTAAATAAAGGTACCAAAGGGGAATCCATACCATAGTGCAACTTCTGGAGAATTGGCAATCTATCGTGCAAACAGCCTCATC